ATATGTTGGCCGTGACTTTCAAATTGAGGTTGGCCAAAATAAAAGGACAATGCCAAAAATCACCCGATCATGGATGAAATCCCGAAGAGTTTTGGGATTAAAAGTTCTTTATAATATGGCAAAAAATATGTATGATAAAAAATTTAAATGCCTATGCCAATATGAAGGATGGACACTCCTTACCAACAATGGAAGAAAAAAATCAACAGTGTTAAAAGAATATATTGAAAAATTTGATACTCGTCTGATCAGTGGAAGCTGTACAACAATTCAAGAATCATGCTGGCTGAGGGACTATCCCACGTGCCGACAAAAATAAAAGAAGACATGACATAAAGGAGATAGATAATGGAATGCTTTTGACAAAGCACAAAAAGATAAAGGACGATTGTGCCTTTGATGAATGCATATAATGATGAACCCGGACAATAATAAAGAAAAAGAAGTGATAATGTAGGACCTCCAAGATAATAATAGAGAGGCAGGTGTGCCTCAAATGAAATTATTGATGTATAAAATAGTTGTTTCAATAATTGTAATTCATGTATAAATAGAAGCCTTTGGGCTAGAAGAAAGCCACAGCGAATTGGAGCACTCAGTTTGTGAGAAAGTCAAAAATCTTCTGCCTATCTTGTATCAATTTCAAAGATATCAATACATCCAATTTTGAATAGATCATGCACATTCCAATCTTCTCAAAAGGATATGAGTTTCTAAATTTATTTTCTCATAGATTTTTGAAAAATCTGATAGAGAATTTCTTTCTTACTTTAGCAATAAACAAAGTTTTTCTTTAATAGAAGTCTAGAAATTTAATTATTAGAAATAATACAGTGAGAGCAAGAAGCTGGATCAACAAGAATTCTATGAAGGCAGGAAGCTATTGAAGGGACTGGTTTGCACATCAAGAGCTTGAAGGTCACTTATTTTTGAGGTTAGAAATCCAGACCAAAATTAAAGAAAAACTACTTATTTTCTACTAAATTTAGAAAGAACTCTCTTAGATTTTTAAGAATTGCCGGGATCAATTGTTATGATGTTCTATTATAATGTCATTCATAGTTTGATATTTAAAAATGTCAGGATATACAGTTGAAGGATTAAATAAAATTTTAGAAAAAATGTTAAGAAAAATAAATGATATTGATTTATTACTAGAAGATATGGATATGTTATCTGAAGAATACGATAATCTTAGGAAAGAAAATGATAAGCAAGTTACAAATTACTCTAATTTATTAGATCATAGAATGAATCTATTTATTATAATTCGAAATAGGAGAAATAAAAAATAAAAACTAGTTTTAGAACTATTTTAAAAGATAAGAATATATTATACAATTTATAAGAATTTATTTCATTAAGGGTAATATAGACTTTTTAGCTTGTTTCATAAAAAGGCCAATTAGAAAATTTTCCATGTAATTTTTCTCTATCATTATAGGGAAATTACATAAATCCAGGTATTTAAAAATAGCTTTTTAAAAATTAGGTTCAAACTTTATTTGTTCAAAAATCAGGTAATATAAAAAAGCCATAACCCTAATTTTTCACTCCCCCACTCCGCCTCCTCTCCCCTCCCCTCTCTCTGTAAGTGAATCTCTGCTCCCTCCCCTCCACTCCACTCCCCCACCTCATCTCCCCTCTCTCCGTCGTTGGTCCAATACACGACCATAAGTTGAGCTTCGATGAGCTATGCCGAATGCAGATGCAGATGTTTCGAATCGCGGCCGTGCTTGGTTTTTTGTTGGTTGTTATGATTTGTGGTGGTTGATGGTGGCGGTCGCGAAGGTGGTGGTGGTGCAGGTGATGGTTGAGTTGACTTTGGGTTG